CAGACACACGTATACGCTGCTGCATGAGGAAGGCACAAGATCTTTGAGCGCGAACGCGGCCTTATTAGCCGAAGAGCGCATGAAGATCTTGTGCCTTCCTCACAGTCAAGGATCGATTGAAAATTGATTATTTCGAGTTTCAACAAAAATAATAATGCAGGATGGTAAGAAAAATCCATGCACAAATCCAAGAGAATACGCAAAAGTGTCGACTTCAAATTTCCTACCTTCGTGGACGTCCTGGGGATGCTGAGAATAAATTTTGAAGCATGTAAAGTTACCAAAAATCTCACTGCGAAAGGCAACAATGTTGGAATCAATTAGAAGTCGCTACATAGGTTAAGCTGATGTGCGCAATTGCGCAGTTCCCATGATGTCAGCGATGAGACCCAGGTCTTGCAAGTGGAGAAAAATCAAGGTATTTACAGCAGTCCTTACCCGTGAGCACAATTTTTGCTTAACCAACAAAGACAATCAAGAAAAGACACTGGAAAGACACTACTTATGGCTACCCCATGCCAGAGAATGTGCAGTTCCAAAAAAATGTGCCTGAAAGCGTACTCGATTGCAGATGAGCATAAACTCTACGCTAAAAGTGACTATGTTCACTGACAAACGACGACAACCATCCATCACCCAATTAAAACCGAATATTTTCGAATATTCGTATTCAAATAACTTATTCGAAACAGAAAAGTCGAGTGTTCAGAAAAGTGCATTCATTTGATTATTCGAATAGTCGAATAAATGAAAAAGACTTTTATTCGAGTATTTACTTATCGGACGAATTGAAAAAACAACTTACTCTAGATTTTACTTGGATATTCAAACCGAATAAAATTTCGAATAAGTTTTCTCGATTCGTCACAAACAAATATTCAAATAAAGGTTTTTTTAACTCGACTACTCAGATAATCAAAAATGCACTTCTCTGAATTTTCCACTTTTCTCATCGAATAAATTATTGGAGTACGAGTATTCAAAAAATAGTCGGTTTTAACTATACCATCACCTCCTAAAATTTCTTATGCTCAATAGATGAAGATTGTAATATTTGGAAAGAATATAATAATCGGATATGACTGAAAGCGTAAAGCGCATCTGAATATTTGCCCACTCGCTGTGTTTTTACAAGCACACACGCATCTGAACGGATCCGATTGCAGGATCTGCTAAACTTCCAAACACACGAGCAAAAACAACGGATGCACATATAACTCAATGACCAACAGCAATAATCGCCGAACAATCACTAAACAACTAAACCAGTCCACTATGTCGCAAAACAACAGCGACAGCACATTGCCATTACATGCACAACACTGCAGTCCTATGTGCCTTGATCAATATGTCGCATAGTTAAAAAAGCAAAGCGCATTCACTTCAATACAGGCTTGACTATATCAAAATAAATGATACCATAGCCATGTTCGACCTCAAAGGAATCTCTGACGGGCCATTTCGTGGCGTATCAGTTTGCCCCAACAAAGTTGGCAGTAATAAATCCCACGCCATAGTAGGTTCCCAGTTTGATCGCGAATTGTTATCTTATGAACTGAGAATATAAATGCTGCAAAAGAAACTCTGATGAGATGATCCAAATCGCAAAATCAAAATGGCACAAAGGTGCGAAAAATTGAGAATTGTAATAAATGAATATAAAATTCTTTGCTAAACCATGATTGAAGAAAAATATTTCATCAATCCTAGTGAGCGTACATTTGATAGTCTGGATCGGGATTAGAAAAGCAGTCGTTGCAGTTCCACCCTTCGCATAAATCAAAAATTTATCCGAAAGAGAGCGCAGTTCGAAAAAAAAAATCACGGGATTTGAAGAGATTTGTGAAAGAGAGGTAATAAGCCAAAATTTTTTGCTCTTTTCAGGCTGTAACTGTAACCCAGCTTCCAAGAAAAAAGTCAAAATGACATTCTAATGAAAGATGTTAAAAAGAAGGACAAGGGCAACAATATAAGTAAAAACCTAATGATTGAAATGAAAAAAAAACGAAAATAAAGGGAACATCCGTTTAGTTCATACCCTCAGAAGGATACTGAATGGCTGATGATCATCTAAGACAGCCTTGTCACACACGAGTTAACATACTACACGTCATTTCGGAATGTCTCGAGGTAAGAATATACTTCTTTTCCACAATTTCCCCCGATTTGCACAGATTTTAAGGATGAACAACCAATTTTGTCTCGTGAAAGATGCCAAATCTGATTCAATATGTTGAGTCAAAGGCTCAACAATTCGCAAACACGTGCACGAGTCTCGGTTATTGTTCTCTGCTCATGGTCAACGTAAAATTGCATTCGGAGGATGAGTCAAAAGTGCGAAAAGTGCAAACTGTTAAACACTGTTGAATGGTCGTATTTGGGACGCGAGGAACAATAATCGGATTTAAATGCCAGCGAGTCAAGTACAAAGCCAGGAGCATGCTGCAAGGGACATTTCGATATGGATGACCAATGGTCCTATTTTTTATATGAGGATGGAGTTACGCGGAAAATTTTGCACATGCAAATCTCAGACGTACTCTACTCCATCACCCATACAAATTACAATAATGAACAGAAGTGTTTAGTAGTACTCTCAATTGATTGCCAAAACCTGTGTATATTTGACACAGAAAACATTTGATGCAAGAAAAATCTTGTGTCGTGCTACTAAACAATTGCATAATTTTGTAGGCTCTTGTAAACTTGTGGATTTAAGTTTTTGCTATTATAAGACATAGAATGAACTCGTAAAGTGTACGTAGCACCACATTTCAAGTTGCCAGTCTTAGCTTTTTGTTTGCTTGTTCGCTTTGTCAAAACACTTTTTTGAAACCATTCCTCTCCTCACACTCTCTTGCACGTTCCCTGATAGCATTTTCTCGCAAATCACCTTTTTCGAGTCGTATGTCTATAAAAAGAACTGAATGTCTATCTGTCTGCATGTATGTATGTACTTATGTTTCGACAGAAATTTTCATCTTACCGATGGTCCAAGCTTGGCCGTCACGTATACATCGGGGCGGGGTGGGTGCCGTAGGCTACTTTTCGTCATTAATGGACGATTTTGTAAATTTTTTGCAGTTTCCCATATGAGGCTGGGAGTTAACACAGGGGGAAGGGAGATAAGGGAGCATGTTGTTTAAGAAAATATTATTGACGGGGCCGGGCCGGGCCGGGTTTGCCAGCTAGTTTTATAAACCATTTGATTTTGACCGTCTACACAGTCAGTAGAGCCGTGAAATCATCCACCTTAACTTTTTTTATGCTCTTGGTATCTACTCAATCGATAGATCATCCTGAAAATCTATCGTTTTCTGAGGTCCTGACATTGATGCTATAATTTGAGTGTCAGAGGACCTACAGAAGTTACCACGGATAAATTTTTCAGGACGTTTTCTAGTTTCGGTTCCCACCAGATTCGCAGAACCTCTTTGCAAGGATCATACGGCCATGAAGTCGATATGTAAAAAAGCCATTTTTTGAATGCATCCACTAAGCTCAAAAGCAAATGTAAGTTGGTTGCAGGGGCAAACATCGTGTGCAGTGCATATGCTGATGCCATACCTTCCTTAAAAGAGGTACATTTGGCTCAAAACGTTCAGGTCCACAAGGCTGAGTATTAGCGATGTCCTGGAAGGTCTTTTGCCGTAAATAAGTGCAACTCAAGGAGAGTTTCGGAACGAATCTCAGATGCAGCTGCACAACAGCGTGCCTTGAGTGTCACATAATCTGATCTGAAGCCAACTTTTAAAAAGCTAACGCAAGCAAATTTTTGAAGTAAAAACCCAGATACTAGTACCGTCAAATATTAGGTCGTTCCGAAAGTTCTTTCCGTTTTTTCAACATATCATAAAAACACGTGGAATAAAGGTAGGGAAACATTTCAGGCACTATCCGACGCAGCTTTTCTTCCTCTTTTCAACTGTCATACTACTGTACCGCTTGCTATTGTGGTCAGTGAGATAATGGCCGAAATTTCGGACCTATGGTTTTTACCATGTCCAAATTTGGCAATTTTTCACTATCTTCTTTCTCAACTTTTGGAGAAGCTTTGATAGCAGTAGATAGAGTGAACAAAGTGCAATGCAATGCAATTTTTTGGCAATTTCAGCCGGCTTCTCATCATTTTTTTAGATAAATTTTTCAGAAGTCTTCACTTTTTTGAGGTCACAAAACACACCAACGCTTTGAACATCAACAAATCTTCGATTTTCGAAACTTGCAAAAGTCGTTTATGATTGTACACTATTTTTACAAAGTAACTGAGCGTTTACCGCGTCGAAATATAAGATTTTGCATTGCACGGATACATCATGAGGCGGGTTCAAAATCAAGATTTATAGAAATTTTATCGCTAAAGACCCCACAAAAAGAGAAAGTACTCGTTAAAAAGGGGAGAAAAAGCTACATCGAACGACACCTTAGTTGTGCGCCGTTTTATGTTCTGTGGCTTTTGGCATCCCCAAAAGTGGAATTTGATAGCATCAGAAAAATAATTCTAAAAATGTTTTGAGGCTAGCTATAGATGCCGAAAAATTGCATAAAATTGCACTTTGTTTACTTTATCCGACTGCTATGCTTTTCCAAAAGTCAAAAAAGAAGATAGTGAAAAATTGCCAAAGCTGGACATGGTAAAAACCATGGGTTCGAAATTTCGGCCATTATCTCGCTGATCATAAGAGCAAGCCGCACAGGAGTATGACAGTTGAAAAGAGGAAGAAAAGCTGCGTCAGATAGTGCCTGAAGCGTTTTCCTGCCCTTATTCCACGTGTTTTTATGATATGTTGAAAAAACGGAAAGAACTTTCGGAACGACCTAATATAATCAACCGCCATCGAAAAAAAAGTTTGATTATTAAAGAAGGAACTATGCCATCTTGTTCACAGCGAGACTTCAACTTAAAATCGTAGACAGAAATAAAAGGTGATAATATGTCTGAGAGGAACTGAAACTCAAAACGGCCATGTTCGCCATAACTATGTAGTACAGGCACTCACCTCTGGTGATGGATCTTCGTCGGCATAAACGACCTCAACTCGTTGACAGTCCGAAAATTGGGCTATCTGCGAGTCGTCTTCGACTAACACCTTGAAACAAAAATATATTACTTGCGACTTAAATGCATCTAAATATTTGCTTTTCACTGCAAATGTTTTGTTTCAAACTTAAGCCGTGTGAGGAAAAATCAAAAAGACATGATGCATACCCTATCAGGTAGTGTGAATATCGCTTCAACTTTTCCATTTCGCATAGATCGCTCTACCATCTTTTTCAATTGCTCAACAGTAGATCCTCCAGGCAAAGTAACCCGCTTGAACGCTTGCTTACCATCGGTGAAGCTATAAGTGAGTTTGTAGAAAGATCGAAACTGAAAGTCCGACGACCTGAGGTCTCACCACGTTCTTACTAGCAGGAAGCGAGTCTTATTTATAGAGTCTCGTCGTCCATATGAGAAGTAGCCATTGGTAATTGTGGGAGAAGCTGCAAGTGTTCATTCCCGAATTATCTTGATTAAATTTCGATGTACCGCAAAGAACATCAAACTCGATGATTCAGCGGTGTAGAATTTAATTTTAATTGGATAGTGATTATGTGCCAGCGGCAAGTGTAGCCCCTTTGTTAGGAAGTAGCTAGAGATATCTCTACAAAAAAAAGCGTGATATTAGCCCAGCGCCTTCAAAACGTTTGAAATGTTCTTGCAATTAGATTACAGAAAATTCAAATTCTTACATTTGCCATGAAGGGACCACGCGTCGACGATGCCAAAGATTTCCAATAAGGCTGACTTATTTTAGTTGCAAAACCTTCTCAACATTCTAGAGATGAATTGACCCACGCTCATTTTTACCCTTTGGACCTCCCAATTTGACTGCAATAAAAAAGGATAGACATGAGCGGAGAAGTTTCAAAAAGAGATACCGGCATTGCCCCGAAAAAAAATTTACAAGGCTTCAGAAATCATTTTAATTATTTACAAGTTTAAACAAGTCACTTACGCATTTTCATAATTCATGTGGACAATTTCCAAAAAAGGCGCGCGTCACCTCCCCCTCCCCCCTCCCTCGGTCTGCCACTGCTAGAGACAGAAAAATTCACAGTAATAACTCTCGATAGTTATAAATAGTTTCTCAAACACAATTCACAAAGTATTCTACAAACCTGCCCATATTAGAACAATAGAAGAGAGTCAAAGGTACAGGTACATATACAAGAGCTTTACACAATTTTAAACTTACGTGGAGCTTTCGTTCCATAGTCGAATGAAGAAGCTTTCGATACATACGGAAATGGTGGATGTCGAATGTAGTTCGGTACGAATTTCTCGTCTCCATCTGTTTCCTCGGAGTGTCGTCGTTTTTCGACAGCTGTCAAAACAATACAAATGCATAAAAGCTACAATCCTATGTAAGACATGCTGGTAACGAGAGATTCGATACCTGACGGCATTATTTCATGGCACTCCTTGCACTCAATCGAATCTGGTCGAAGAATCTCTCTCAGTTCTATGTTATCCTCAGCACAAACCTGGAAACTAAAAAGGAAATGTAGAAAGTGGTCAATGCTTCAAGTCCATTCGCTTACGTCAAATGGTGTTCTCCCTTTCTTGTCTCTTACTTCTCTGCTAAAACCGTGAGCCAAAAGTAGAACGCAAATCTCTTCGTACCCACGACGAGCAGCCCAATGAAGTGCTGTCCTATAACAATCAAAATTCATTATAGAGAATTGCGCTAGCAGCAATCGGTCGTAGGAAATCTTCAAGAACAAGAGCGTAGCACTAGACGGTGGGAGAATGATAGGGTCTTTTCCATAAAGGAGACATACCCTTTCATTCAACTGGTTTGGTGGCTGAAAGGCGGGGCTTGACCTATCAAGGCTAGGTAAAAGAGCATGCGATCAGAGAGCATGCGCGCGAAAGAGATGCAGACTGCGTCGCGGGCGCGAGCGGCCTTAATTAGGTCAAAGCCTCGCCTTCCAGCCGTCAAGCCTGTTGAATCAAAGGTTACATTTGAGATTATGGAGCAGCAACTATATCAACTAATAAAGACAAGCTATCTAACCTCTTTGTCTGTGTGAGTTTCGCAGCTCATCTACTAACTTAAAATCACAAGTACAAGATGTACCCTTCTTTTTTACTAAAAATGACTAGCCTGAACACACCAAAATATTCCGCGACCACAGGACCCGCTAATATGCTGCTTCTTACCTAAAAGAGTTTTGTGGAAGAGAGACTTTATCGCAAGATATAGTGGTGCGACAGAGTTTCTGGCTTGATAAATTGAAAAGGTGCGTCTCGTACTCGTGAAATGAAGTTAGTCAGTTTTTTAAATCAATTCCCTGGTTCAAGCGTACTTTTGATGACCCTGTCACATCCAAAGTCCCTTTGAGAACATTATCATTTATCACATCAATCTAGATACTTGAAAGCCCTTCGTAAGCTTGCAAGCACTTCAGTGCAAACGAAGACCAATGAAACGACAAAGAATTAGCTCCACGAGCTTGTACTAGCAATGTTTCAACTATGAGTACATTTGAACAGGTGTTATGTACTCTAGATGAGCTCGGAAACCATGCACGAACTGCTCCGACTGGTGCCCTGTCGGTTACTTTTCAACAATCAAAAATATTATTAAAGATATTCTATAGAACTGACAAGTAATTCAAACAGCCCTTACAGAGGAAGTTCAAATAAGGTCAAAAATTGTGACAAATAATTTAGAAACACACTTCCTTCTCTTTCTCTCACATAAAAATGACAGAGAGCAAGGACTTTTCAAAAAAGTCAGGATCAGATCTTAAACATATCGCAGACAGCATCACAGTGCTAAAAAAAAGAAGAGATCTGTAGTCACTTTTTCTTAGCCTCTCATACTATAGCACTAGCGGACGCTGGTCATTTTTTATACTAAGCCACGGGTGGAAAAGAATATCGACCTCCCGAAAAATATAAAAGAATTGTGGACTACCCCAGAAAACCCAAATTAGCTGCTTTATAGAGGGTGTCCCAAAAGTAAGTACACACTTTTCAATCGTCAGTATCTCTCTTCTCAATGGGTCTTTTTTGCCGCTCAAGTATCATTCTGTAGAGGAGCCTTTAACTTAGATTCACAATATTGATCGAATCGCCGATCGCTCTTCGTTACTGTAGGATTACGGTAAGAACTTTCAGCATGTGGAACCATTGTGAAATATGCCGTCTGACAAAATTTTTTCAAAAAATCTGAAAAATCGTGTGCTAGGGTTTTTGCGCAGCTGATTCCACTACACAACTTTTTGCGAGTGTTTTCAGCTTTTTTGACGGTGTAATCACAATTCTTTGATTTTGATTTCTGATAAATGCTGGGAATTTACTTATCAGAGTTTACCTGGGATAACTTTGGAAAGAAGCATCATAGTAAAGGGAAATTTTATATTCGAAATCAGCGGCTTCCATTACCATGATATAAGAGTTTTGGCTTGTTTGGTTTTGTTCCGAGGCAAAATATGGCTTCCAATGGCCCCAAATTCTTATCGAAGTTCCTACAGTAATCCTACAGGAATGAAGAGAGATTGGTGATTCGCTCGATACTGTAAGTCTAAGTTGAAGCCTCCTCTACAGAATGGTACTTAAACGGCGAACAAAAACACAGTGAGAAAAGAGATATTAACGATTGAAAAGTGTGTACTTACTTTTGGGACACCTTGTATACGAGAGGATAATTTTTTTACGCCTGATGACCATCCGCAACTGAGAGGGATCTCCAAATCAAGAAAATTTGAGTTAGCATCTGAACGGCCAGACTTCGTTCAAAAGGGCAACGGCTCGGCCAGACTTCGCTAAAAGCGCCCAAAAGCACTCAAGAGCGCCCAATCTCCTCATGTGAAAATGAGGAACTTTTAGGCGCTTTTGCGCGAAGTCTGGGTGGGGCCTAAACAACATGATCCTTCCAAAATCCAGACCAAATGCAAAGTTATATGAGCTAATCTCAATCACTGTTGTTTTCACTCGATGACGAATAATTTTCTGAGGAAAAAAACTGTGGGAAAAGCTATGAATGACGCGATACTATAGGAAAGCAAGACTCTTATGCGACTAAAGTGGGAGAAGAGACAAGAATACCTTTGAGAAATGAATGGAAGAGACACTAGCACACGACAAATCACACTGCAATGATACATCAAATCTGCCCCCTGGGGCACCTTACACAGGCGGGTACGAAGGCGCGCCATGTGACAACTGGCCATCACAACTACATTTCCAATCATTAGCAGTGAAATCAGCAGCTGTTTTCTTTGATGAGATGAACCGGGAAGAATAACGGTTATTTTAAAGATAGGATTTCGCCGATGATAAACCCGTACTATTAGAAAGGTGATAAAGAATCATGAAAACAATCACTGCGCTATAAGGAAGTCAAGCATATATAAGAAAGGCATCAAATCAAAGACCTTGCCCAGGCACGGGTACCCGGACTTCTCATATGGCTAAGGAGTCCATTCCAGGTCTGAAACCAACGGTAATTACCCTTTGGAGAGGGCCAGCCAGCGTCATCGAGCACGGTATAAATTACGGTATGGGCTGATTTTCATATAGAGAATTGATGGTTACAATGAACCAACTGACTGTCTCTTGGGCAGCGACGCTTAGCAAGTCCTCTCAAGCAGTTTTCATGGTGAAAGAAGATACCCAGACCTGCGTGGACACCGCCTTTGAGAGTTCACAATAGCCGAGATAATTATTCGGATAGCCGAGCCCGACCAATTATAGGAAGGCCGACTATCAACCGCACCCCAGGAGCTCTGCACATTTGTGCAAAGATCTTGCTTGTGCACTGTTCTCCGAAGCCTCGAGCCCAGACCTATTAACCACCCCATCTATTTGCATTGGCTCCATGTCACGAACTGTCTACATTACGAACCCTACTTTTTCCCCATGTTGCAAATATTTGCGGCTATCTTGCAAAGAGAACCTGCTTGACTAATTGCAGTCATCAAAGTGAGTAGACCAACTAGCGTAGGAATTTCATGAAAAACTGTTTACACTCTTGACGTATGGTCCTTACGGTAGTTCTATCGTAAAAACTGATGACGGTGTGTGAAGAAAAAAGGGATGACAAAGGAGCACTTGCTGCAAAAGCAAAAGCAACATCAAGAATGTGCAGTTTATTTTAAGAAACAAAGGTGTCGACATAAATGGGTAAAAAATTAATCTAAGGCCTTCAAACTAAGAGCAGGATACGAAACCCCGGAACGAGATATCAAAGCCAGTAGTTATTTGCGGCAAATGTCAATAATGAAATGGAAGAAAACGAAAGTTCAGTAGAGAGAACAATGCCACGTGGAAAGTTCACAGGATTGTCCAATATTATTTCCAAACAAGCTGTTACGGCAAATCAATAATTTCTGAGGCTTTTCCCTGCATGTGATGAGATAATTGAAAGGTTTGTCCCTAATGCTCCCCACTTTATGGGCACAAAATGACTAGGCCGAAACCTCAGCCGAATAAATGCTATATTAATATTGGTGTTCGCTAAATCACAGAAGCCGCGAATTTACTGATTTTCTCAATGAGAATCACCCGCTCTCTCTTGGATTCCGCACTCATCACATAGAAAGAGATTAGTAAAGCAATTCCTTGTGGGTTGAAATTCCACACATTTACAATCCCAAAAGATTAGAAGGCATTACTATAAAGCAGTCGTTGGCTTGTTCCTTGGGTAAACAGATACACATCAAGGTCTTCCAGGTACACTAAGCTGAGCGATATTTTGATGGGAAAAACAGGCGCACTGGATGAAGGGAGAAGCACGAGAGGAACACCAATAGCAGAGAGATGTATTCTCGCAAAAAAAAGGACTTATTACAGCAATCTGTGAAAAAATAGTGGAGGCTGGAGAGATGCAGTGCGAGCTTGAAAAAAAAACACAGAATTTGCGCAAAAAGATATTCAAAAAATCAATAAATCAAATGATAATTGCTAATTATTTTACAGACACCTGGAAATGATAATTCTGAAAGATGTGGACTATTAATCACTCGAGAGTACTTCAACGTAAGGGCCGACGTTATGCTGATGTTTAAAGTCTGATCCCCGTCTGAGGGTTAATAAAGTCCTCTATCTCAAAGAATGGTGATTCCGTCCCATAACTCTCCAGCCTTATAGCCTCCTTATAATGATACTAGCTGGCAAACCCGGCTCCGCCCGGCCCTGTCATTATTATATTCGTAATCAGCATGCTCGATTACCCCCCTGTGCCAACTCCCAGCCCCGTAGCTCAAATTTTGCAAAAAATCGATAAAATCGATATCGATCGATAACGAAAAGTAGCCTATGACACGCTCCCTGCCCCGAAGTATATGGGTGCCAAGTTTGGTCCAAATCGGTTCAGAAATAAAGATTTCTATTCCGCACATACGTACAGACAGACATACAGACATACATACAGACAGACATTCAGCTTTATATAAAAGATTCTTGTACTAATTTACCTCATTATGAAGGACGTGCAATACTGATAACAAGCAGTTCCTTAATTATTTACTTGCAAAACATTTTCTCAACATTTTATTTTATCACAATTCCCGCATTCCCTATGACCCCAACCGAAAGGCAATGTTTGCCTAAAACTTGAGCTTTCTACCTGTTGTACACCTTCTAAAGGCATGTAAAAACAGAACTGTGCTACAGACACCTAAAAATGTTGGTGCTCCCTTCCCTCTAGGTAGCCAAAAATGAAAAACTTCGACTTCAATATGTACACAGACATGCCTTGCCTATGTAGCCTTCAAGTGCTTCCACTCCCATTACAAAGGCAAATCGCAAAATAAAAGAAAAGAAAGAAAACTGACCAGCCATTGATAGGATGTTGATAAGAGACATCCACCATGTTTGCGGCGATCATATTACGCACTTTCGACGCATCTCCGTTGGTACACTGCTCCAGAAAATCCAGCTGTAGAGCACTGTGTGATTGCATACGCTTCTTTCTGCATAAAAAATAATTTTGATCCTTGAGAACTATATTAGGGCTTCTTACCGACGACGTTTGAGTCTAAATCTAAATCTAAAGCAGAACATTACAACAAGGCGAGCGCAGAGAGAATGATGGTTGTGATACAGCTAAGTACACGTAAGGTAAACGGAACAAAACCGATATTATCTACAGTCCACTGTACTTTGTAACATGCCATAGAAAAGCGAGATTGAATTTTCAATTTTTCCGTTACATGGATTTGTACTGGTCGCAGAAAAAGACGGGATCTGAACGGTGCGTTCCGAAAAAATGTGCACACACACTGTTGGTTGTCAATAATCTTCTATTTCGAAGTCTTTCGATTTGTTGCACTTTACAAGGCTAATTTCAACTTGGATTTGCGACGCCAAATAAAGCACCGATCGCTCTTATCGAGAAGTCGAAATTTACAAAAGGAATTTGTTCAAAGGATTTCAGGCGTTCTGGAATTTCTCCGGTATGGTAACCGATTCGTAAAGCCATTGCCGAATGTCCTCGTTGTAACCGACAGTAACAAAACGATACGTGATTGCTTCTGATGTGTTCTAGATTATCGCCAACCTTTCAAATTTTTCAAATGGGACAATGAAATGCCGCATATGTAATGGTTTTTCGGATGCCACCTCTCAGGATTAGGGGGATGCAAGAGCTCAAAATAATTATGAAATGTCTTGAAGGTCCTCTTATCTTCGAACCTGGGCATGTTTTTCTTGTTTTCTTTTCTCTTTCTTTTTCTTTTTCCTCCTTTTTTTCCTTTTCTTTCTTTTTCTTTTCCTTTCCTTTTACAACCTGTACGGCATAGCAAGATAATTGCAATTATCAAATGCTTTCTATCCCCACAAAAGTGGAACTAATCGTAAGCCTCACGAGTTTGCAAAGTAAACATGAATACAAGCGTTTGCGAATGACTATAAAAAAGAGTTAACACAGTAGCAAAGCGGAAAAGATGTGAAAATGATCTCTACGCGTTCAATCAAGCGAGCAAGTATATGACGAGTAAATGAAGTAATGTGGTAAACAAATATTGGTACTTAACAGGGAAAGATACTTGGTGACCCCGACCATTCATAATGGTTTGTATATTAAAAGATGCGCTTTTCAATGCTGGTTCGATTACTGTTTTCCATATCTGCGAAACGAGAACATGGATGGACTTATAACTATTTTTTCAAGAATGAATTGCCTTATTGCGAAGGGTGAAAATCATTTAAAAAAATTTCTTTCCTCTTCAAATGCTGAATATGATTAAGATGGATATAAATACAACATACACTTTTCAAGATTCTCCTCAATAGCTTCAAACGGTGAAACAGATCAAACTGGATTTTAACTACCTAAAAGTACGCAAATTTTTAACGAAAAAAAAATTTATAACTGCCTTCATATGATCGTTTCGCAGATTTCGAGCACAGATTTAGAATCAGCGTTTCGAGGTGCACATTATGGTACACATCGCATACCAAATGGCCGGGCCACCAAGTATCGTTTCCTTGTTAGGATTGCTGCTTCAGATATAAGATGATTGTAAAGAAGACACGAGATCGTTATGACGCAATTGAGTTTAAAGAAAGAGGCTGCCTCGGAATACAAAAGATAAGAGATCACACAATAATGCACAAAAAAAATTCAAAAAAGTTCTCGAAGTTTTCGGTGTTGAAGACTTTGCGTGCGCACAATAGAAGGAAAGGTAAGTGAATGGTTTTAAGTTTAGGACAAAATCATGACAATCCATACATATATATTGAAAGTTTAAGAAAATGGAGACAAAGTAAAAAGGATTCGGAGATTCGCTGAGATTGAGTAAAACTAGAGTTAAAGAGACAAGGTAAAGTCATTTTGTTTCATTCATCATCGTTGCAGCTGCAAAAGTAGAGAGAATTAGAAGCAGAGGCGGTGAAAAACAAAGCAGTTCGGATTCATCCATGAAGAAATACTTTGCAAATTTGCCTTATGTAAAAAAGAGATCTGTTTCAAGATTTGTTATGTACAAATGACAAGCATTAGAGAAGAAAATATCAGAAATAACGTTCGTCAAAATATAAACATAAAAACAATTGTGACATAACATGGCGCACATTAGAAAACTACCACTAAGACGTGAGTGTCAATAAAGAGACCAGCTTTTGCTTACCGCACCAAGACAAAAATGTTAGAACAAACTATGTTTCTTCTTGCAGAAAGTTCGAAGTGATAGAACAATGACTGTCACGACTTGGAAACAATTTTGATGAGAGCTTTGGTCGCTAAGTAAACAAAGTCAACAAACGAAGATCGGAAATCTCGAGGAAAGGTCAGAGATTTATTTTCAACAACGGAGAAGTGTAAAAGAACTTCTTTTCATCAAACATCGATAATTCCAAAATGTTTGTTGATAACAACTTCGTTTTCCGGCGCTTCACCAAATTTATGTTGCAAAAGCAGCTGATATTTTTACAAAAAAAACATGAAGAAGAAGCCATCGCCTAGACAAAAGTGAGTCACAGAAGGCTGTTTCCGCAATGAAAATAAGGGTTTGTTCTTAACCAAAAAAGGAAAAGAGCAGAGTTGAGAGGCAAATATGGAGTAGGGAGAGAACATTAAATAATAGCCATACTATAACCACACTTCAAAAGCAATGAAATACAATAATCAAGAAACGGTCAAGAAAGATCAAGGAACGAGAATGCGAAAATTGAATTCCATGTCGCGCCTTGCACACGCTGCACTATACCGCACGCCAAATGTGCGATCGAATTCCAAGACTTTTTATCTACCCGTCTCGGTTGCATGATAACGCTTGGGCAGGTGATGCCATTGTAAGTGTGCATACGTTGAAAGAGGATTTAGGATGTTGCTTGTTGCTAATACTTCGGAGTTTATTGATAAGGAGTTTAGTTTATTGTGCTACCTGGTAGGTGACTCGAAAATCTCGAAAAACTCGAAAAAAGTCATAAATTTGGCAAAACTTCACCTGAAGAATTTACTTGGACCAGCAAGGTGAACTCGGGTATTTTGTAATGTGAAATCACCATTTCTGCGTTTACGTTGGGCACAGTGGGTGAGCAAATTTTGGAAATTGCTAAGCAGTTTGTCTAGGTGGAATTGTTCAGCATGGTGATTCTTTACGATAATCTTTCTCTTGCTACCGATATCATGATATAATCCAAGACCTTCTCCGCTTTCCTTGAGACAATTTTGAGCAAAATAATGATTTCGTCCCTTCTACCATGTACCCACCGTAACCCCAGGAAATGACATTACCTAAAGAAATCATTATGTATCTTTTGCAATCGACTTGGCAAATAACTAAGCAGACGTAGCGATATTTTTAGCACGTTCTTAATTTCATGAGTTGCTTGTGAGTTGATAATACGTGTGATTTCTGCTCCTCTTCCATAGATTCGTTATCTAGGAGTTCCTTCAGATTATCAGTGCTGGACTATCATTCTTCACGTGCTACTATTCTTCTACTGAAAGCTGCAATTCATATCATTCTCTGACCGTATTTTTTTGCCTCCTATATTCTACGGCAAAACCTCTGTTTTGCATTTCGCCATAAAGAAATTTTGCTCTCATGGTTTGCATTAACTGTCGACATGCATGGATAGGTTTTTCCGACTGCTTTTGACAAGCGCCGCTATACATTCGTCGCGTCTCGTGTAATACCTGCGTTGCCGAACGTCTGCACTAATCGTCCTTTCCGCTTAGCAGTCCTGTCATTAAAGATTTTTAGGTATGCCCCTCCGACGGATAACATTGAGCGGGCGATTATCTGCTAAGGAAAGCCAGGAGGTGTGGAAGACGGTAGCTCGTGGACTTATATGTATGGTTTTGGACATTGCAATCACTTTAGCTATATCTATATCTCTTTTTTACATGTTTGCAGGGTAAGTATTTTCTTTGTTTTCTTTTTTCATTGAAAATGTGACAGATTCGCTTCTAGATACGTGGTATCACCCTATGAACGGCCACTTCCTTGCAATGACGACTCTATAAAAATGCCGTTCAAGGAAAACACTATTAGGATGAAGCATCTTCTTGTTGTTGCGCTAGGCACTCCTTTTTTCATTATATGCTTCGTTGAAGCACTAGTCTATCGTCATTCGCAGGTATCTGACATATATACAATCTCAGTCAAGTTGAAATCCTTCACGTTTCAGGGACCCAACAAACTTGCCAACTATTTTGTCACTTCAACACTTCTCTACCTCAAATACGAGCTTACGTTTGCCCTATGCGTATTTCTTATGGAGTACCTAAAATGCACATTTGGACGTTTACGCCCTCATTTTATCGCAGCCTGTCAGCCTGATTGGTCAAGGATGGATTGCACCGAAAAAGAGTCCATTCCGGGTTGGTTCCTTCAGAGTCTTTATACCGCCCAAATTGATGTTTGAATTTGGGTGTATGTCAAGAGGCGCGATTATTTTGCCAGATGGACAGCAATAAGCGCATTTTTGGTGTTTAGTAATATCTAAAAGAATTTTGAGTTCCTGAGCAGATATGCAAGATCACTGCCAGAACTGTTCAACCTTATATATTGAAATAGATTTGAAACATGAGTGTTTGAGATGAAAAACTCTCAAATTTGCAAGTCGCAATGTTATTATTTCGGTCAATTTTTCACTAAAAGCCTTCAAACTTAGCCAGTGGTGGCTCTAGAAAGTTAGTAAGCTATAGCACTTTTTCTGGTGTTTTTGGAGACTCGCATAGCTCTAAATGGGCTGCTGTATCGGTGACCTCTGGAGAAATCGCGTCTTTTGACCTTCTCTCTTTGAGTTTAGGAAATCTGAAAATAAAGTAAATAAATAAATTCCAGCCTCCCAAACTTACTGCATGAACGATGTCCGCCGTGTCCGTACAGCACGAACATCATTTCCTTCTGGTCACACAGCCGCAGCCTTTCATGTTCTGCTTTTCTTAGGATTATATTTGACAAGGTAAGGATATGATTTATATCTTCTTTCACTTGTTCACATTCCTTTAGTATTACAACCTCATATATTTTTTATCTTCATTCGCACATGCTTTTGGTTTCTACCACACTCTACCACCGTCACCAATGTTACCGCTCTTATTCTTACCATTGTTGTCGTCTTGACAGGTCTTGCAGTTTCATTCTTCCACACTCGTTTTCGTCCATATAGTTTAACCACGTTTTTTAATCACTCGTTATGTACCAGGTGACGTAGTTACTATCCAGTAGATCGCTTACGAAAAATGGGACTGTAAGGATGTTATTAACCCATTGCTGCAACACAGGTAGCCGCAAAAAAAAAGCGGTAACAGTAATAACAGCAGTAGAGTCTGGATCCAAGCCTTAACTGCATATGCGAGTAGCGTGATAGCGAAAAGCTGAAGGGGTATCTTTTGTTGGAGATATCGTATTGTGATTTAGAAGACATGTATGATAGTTACTCTCTAACTCAGACTAATTTTAAAAATTCGCTCTCATTTATTACCCCATGTTTTTATTTAGTCATGTCATGTTTCAGTGAGTGAAGATTGTAGATTATTTTCCTTTTTTTGGAGTTTTCTCTGATTTAGGATGGCAAGGATCACAGGCTTGCCTTCTTTGTATAAAACTCGGAACGTACTTCTCACTATCTTTTCCATATGGACAGCGTTCACTGCAATAACACGGGTTACGGATTATTGGCATTATCCTACCGACGTACTAGGTAGGACTTTCTCTCACATTCTCATATCAGTTTTCATTTTAATGCCAATTGACTTTCTTACATCAATTTAATTGAGCAAGAAACTGCTTTTGAGGTGGCATCGCTTTAGCAGCAGTTTGCGTTCTGCCAACATTTGGATGGCAATGGAGGACCCATGAAGAAGTTTACGGATTTCGTCAACTGTGGGGAGAACGACCTCATTTCGAATAGAAAATTATTGGGTATAATTTTTACTGAAGCATTCCATGATTTTTGATTTGTTTTGCGGTTTCACTGTGATGTTATCTTTAATGTTCTCTATTTTCGGCTCATGGTGCATTGGTCTCTTTGATAGGTCTAGTAGGAATTGAAGAAATGGGTGAAATGATATTGATTTGTGCATATTGATAGTCTATAAATAGTGCACACTATGTATTTATGTGACCGTATTCGCTTATGGCAAAAACTATTTTTTTTTTATAGTCTTACGCGTTTTCGGAAAGGGTAAGCAGCTGCTCAAAGAACAAAGAGTTCAAACGCTCTTTTACTTCAAAGTATATAACATTTCTCGAAGGTCTTCACACTTTGTAAATGGAGTTGCAAAAGCTTTTTTAATTTTTCAGTCAGAATTGGGCGTTCGTCGTTCTAAAAGCTGAAGGTGGCAAAAATTATTTCGTCACAATCATTCCTCTTCAGCCATACGGCAGAATGTCAGCAAAGAGATTATCTCTGAAAGAAGCGAGTGCGAATTTTGAGACACTCATTGCTCGAGTGAAAAATCGAGAGGAGTTTATTGACTGGATCCACGAGGAGTATTGCGAGAATGACAATGCCAAACCGCTTTTTGTAACGGATGCTATAAAGAAGCTTCGAGATATCGCAGATCATATAAGAATGAAAGTGAGTTAGTGGTCGCATTTGAACTAGCAAAAACCTCTGAGGCTGTAGGAATGCTTTAATGTGGTTTTTTGCATTGGAATTTTTGAGCTGCTGATATAGAAGTATTAACGGCCGCGAAAGATCACAATTGGTGAAATCTGAGTTGCCCGGACTAGATTTAGTGTCTCTGTTGTATAAATGTTTGCGTCGATGAAACTTTGAGTTAATGTGATTTTTATGGCCGTTAGTCGCTTAAACATGGATAAAAATAGAGATAGATAGAGCTAAAATGATTTATATTTCACTTCTTTCAATGCATTAAACTCTATTCTTGGCATCCTTCCGGTAGCTTGGTAGCCGTTACATTTGCAAAATGATTCTCCAGATTCCTGATGGAACCGTGAAATCGGAGAAAATAGTTTGGCCCACAGGCGGGCATGATGCTGATTGTGAAGAAAGGAACACCGTAAGCTTGTGCTGTCAGTTCAACTCAACTTTGAATTTGTTTCCTGTTTAGGTTCATGTTGATTGTTTTCTTTATGATGATAAAGCTATGGAAGAAATGATTAAAGCAGGAAAGTTCCAGAAGTGAGTTCTGCGACATAACATTGCGATGCCTTGATATTGTTTTGCAGGAGATATTGTGTTGATTGTGGTTCAAGGAATGTGCAGGACCTGAATTTCATAAGCCACAGCTTGTCTCACCCTCAGGTCGATTGTTAATGCCAAACATTTTCATTATTATTCTCATTCCGCTTTATTCTAGCTAGAGTTTATATTCACCCAACTTGTTCCCCTGAAATCCAGGCCCGAAGGCTTTCGAGTGGTAGACATCGGATCTCGGCTTGGTGCCGTCGTGTTTGCTGCTTCATTATTTGGGTGGGTGCTGTTGTTTATAATAATTACTAGCTGGCGTACCCGGCTCCGCCCGGCATCACTACACTTCGGGTGAAAATGCCGAGATACAACTTCGGGTCTTTAGTTGTACGGTTTCGTTCCTACCCTTAGACGGTTTGGCTGAATAGGTCCTAGGCTTTCCCCGAAACTCATCAGTAAGGAAGGATAGCTCAGCTGGATCTATTCAGTTTCTTTGTTTGTCCCACCCACCTTCCCTGACCGCCGCTGGCCACCATTTTTTTGGGTTTTCGTTTTGCCATTTTTTTGGACTTTGTATTTTCCAATTTTTTTGGATTTTATATTTTCCAACTTTTTTGGATTTTCCAATAGAATGGCATGCAACGAATAAATACTGTACTATATTACAGCATGCAATTATGTTAGCGCCCTGGGATACGCTACGTTAGCTGTGCTCCCTTCGCATATATGTACACTTCGCCGGACTCCCGACCCTCGAACACGCCACGTAAAGCTGACCATGCGAGAAACAGGGAGTTTCCAGGTCTACTCCTACTGTTCGAAGAGACTGCTCTTGCGCTTTGTTGATCGTCATAGCGAGTGCAGGCCTGACCGGAAACTGCATTGCCTAAAGTCAAAGGGCTTATCGGAGGGGGCCAAAGGGATTCGTGGAATATGAACATCTTCACCTTTGAACTCCCCCACCAATATGGTCGCTACTATGACATTTGGCATGAGACTCTGATGCAAAGCCTTGTACCATTGCACATCTTCGGTGGGTTGATGTTCCGAAGGAGCATGATTGGCAAACCAACCTTCAGATCAAGTCTATGAGGTGGTATCCCATTGGGCTCGAGTGAATTCAAGAACTCAGTGGGGAAGTGAGCAGCCTGTTCAGTCTGGACCATCGTATCAGGATGTGTACGTTGTTACTGGTCCAGGTAGGCTGTTTAGAATCTGAGCATTGATGGAATTCACTTGCTCATTTTTGGGCGCCAGAATTGCTCGCTCGCAAATCCACTCCCCATTGCTGAAGTGGTGGCAATGTTTGGAAAGACCTTTTCGATCAGTTCTCACTCCGATTAAACCATATTGCAGAAGTCTGGAGGGAAGGTAATCCAGCTAGAACTTGGTTCAACCGGAATTCTGCCCTCGCCAAGAAGCAACAGTTGTTGCGCAAAGCTTCTGGCATTCTCATCGCCAAGGAGGTGCACTCGCATGTTCGTCGTGAGATTCAGCGATCGAACATGTCTCCAGAGATGAGAAGCTTTGAGGCAGGCTTCCAGCTCATCTGCTGGAGTGACCGGGGAATCACTGGCAGAGTTTGACGAAAGTCGCCTGCCAGTAGCACGACGGCCCCACCCACCACCCTGTTGCTTCCTCGTATGCCCCGTAGTGTGTTGTCAAGGGCTTCTAGGCACTTCTTATGCGCCATGGTGCATTCGTCCCAAACTATGAGTTTGTTCTTGTAACACCTTGGCTTTCCCTGTGCCTTTGCTTATCCCACACACTGGGTGCTCTACATGAGCAATATCCAGAGGAAGCTTGAAGGCTGAATGAGCAGTTCGGCCTCCTTCTAACAGTGTTGATGCAATTCAGGATGCCACTGCTAGTGCGATTCCTCCTTGTCTGCGAATCTCGGCAAGTAGGATATTGATGAGGAACGTTTTCCCTGTCCCACCCGGAGCGTCGAGAAAGAGTAGCCCACCCTTGCCACTGGAAATCGTGTCCAGAACAACGCGGTATGCTAACTCTTGATCCTCTGTGACGAGGGGTCTGTTGGACTCTACAAATCTCGACAGCTGATCGACATCACAGGACCTCTCTCGGAGAACATCGCTCTCAATTGCTTGGTCATCTCCGCGTATTGGTGGCGGCAAACCGAGATCCTTAAGAGTTTGACCGGTCATCGACGTGCACATGTCCTCAAGCAGTATCAACGTTCGGTTGAACATCTCGGGAGAGTAGTCGATGTCTGCAGAGGGTGCTGCTCTGCGACATTCTCTGAGTATATCTCCACTCAGAGCTTCCTTGTACTTCTCCCAAAGTGCTTGAGGATTTGATGGTTGACAGGCCGTCAAGATGATAGCGAAGAGACTTCTTACAAGGAAAGGATACTTGGTGACCGTGGCCTTTTGTAATGAGACGTACACCATTGAATGCGTTTTAAAGCGCTAATTCCAAATCTGTTTTTATTATCTGCTGTGCGCTCTTCCGAAAGAAGTTATGAACATTTCTTGCCACCAAAATTTGCACTATTTTTGATGCAGGATTCACCAATATCATTAGAATATTTGCTTACGCACTACAAAAGAGCGTACAGATAAGTAAAGCTTCACGTCAAGCTCAGGAAAATTGTTGTCGATACATCAGAGTCTAAAAAGGCTGGATACTGACGATTTTGATGGCCTAAATCTCACAAAACCGATACGGAAAAAAGTCCATAACTTCGTTCAGGGAGTCGCACAGCAGATAATAAACATAGATTCAGAATCAGCGTTCCAAGACGCATCTACTGGTATACAACTTTTTGCAAAAGGCCATGGTCACCAAGTATCCTTCCCTCGTTAGCTGAGCAGCGAAACTTGTCGCAGATGCCTCCTCGAGAGTCCGGTCCCACTGCTGATCATCCTGAAGCAAGCCAAGTCTTCGGCATTCTTCTCTTTAGGTCCCACAGTATTCTCCGTCGATGGTCCTCAATGCTGCGAATGACGCCGGTCCTTGGATTGTGTGGAGCAACAGTCTGAGGTAGAAGCACTTGGCGTGCTTAGGATGTACAGTATATACACGTCCTTAAACATCCGCAGCACGTATGCCATGTTGTCCGGGAACTTCAGCACCTTGCTTTCTTTCTTCTAGCAAACTTCTTTGTTGAATTGTTCCAAGTATAATATTTTGGAACTTCTGAGTACAGCAAAGTCCGTGCAAATGCATCGTGTTCGCACAGAAGGAAGAATGCCGTGAGAGTCGTCTGAGGTGGTTGCGCAGCTCTTTGCCGCGCATTATCAACCGTAAAGTAGACGGGTTGTTCATTTTCTAGATGGACACTCAAGTGAACAACGGGTGGATAACGCTCGTGGATTTGGAAACCCAAGATGCGCCACACTGCCTCGTTGCTGCTTATATACCTGCCCGTTTGATATCGCTCGATTTCATCAAACGTTGCAGTGGCATGCTCGAGGCCGAACGTTGCCATGTCACTTCCTTTGTTCACATATTTGCAGACGTACGTAATCGACTTTACTGAATTACAGTACTCTACATTGATATGTGCCTTGAACATCTTCGAGAGTAAGGGAGTGTATGGCACCACCCAGCTGTGTCAACCTCAGCGTCCACAGACTGATGGTCCATCCTCATCCTAATGACGGCGGTATTTCCTCCTTTATCTGGTTTCGCCTTCTGTAAAGGGGATAACCGTCTCTTCCCGTTTGGGTTTCGCGAATCAGCTGCCGAGGGTACCTTTTTGTGCACTTGCCGTCCTTCATGCAAGGCGTTCGGGTTTAGTGGTCCGCATGGCCCATGGATCATATTTTTGAGGACAACATCGAACAAAAGAGGATCTTCTTCGCGATTGGGAAGCTCCGCCGAGATGATCCTGTCAATCTGATCTGGGCGAATCTTCTCCTTCAGCCACACTAAAATGTGGGCATGCGGAACACCGCGTTTCTGCCATTCCACGGTGTACATACAACAGCGAGTGTCTCCGTAGACGTGGCTTTTGGTTATCACGTCCATAAGCTTTTTAAGCTTTTGTTTGAAGACCCTCGCCGTGATGTCGTGGCGGTCAGAAGGTGCTTCACCGGGGAAGAGCTCTTCCGCAATTTCGGTCCACGCTGGGTTGCATATAAACGTGATGAACAGATCAGGGCGACCGTAAACTCTAACATAGGTCATGGCGTCCTGAGTGTACTCATGCATGTGGCGTGGGCCACCAGTGAAGGAGGATGGTAGTATGACCATCTGCCCAAGGTCACTGACTTTTCCATCTTCGGCCACGGCATCCCGTAGATGGATGTAGTCGTCTGCAAGTAGCTTTCGCTGATTGCGTCGAATGAAGAGGAGCCGTTCACCCTCGATCTTGGCGTACATGTCCGCGATGAATTGGTGAAATAGTTGGCGACATTTCACAACATGGTTGAAGGAGGTGGACCTTATCATCATTCGATAGCATAGAAATCCATAGCCGGTACCTTCTTATTGGTAGGAGCACCAGTGCTAGGATTTTGCTGCCATAGTTCGAAGTGGTACCCGTCTTCCCCCTTCCAGAACATGAGTGGGTACTGCAGGGCATCGTACGACATATGGGTTTCAGAGATGCGCTGCAACGAATCGCAACGTTTTTGGAAGATAATGTCACGCCTGTCGCAGTCGTCTCCAACTACCAAGACCGCCACCTCGTTTACAGATGGAGCGTTGTAGCGTCGTTCATGCTGACCAGCAGGTCGCTTGTCAGCACGGATAACGACATTATACTCATCTGTAGGCATTCGCTCCAGGTTGGTCTTGAAGTCCTTCACCAGTTCGTTGTGCTGATGCAGCATTCTTTGCAGCTTTAGCACGACGTCCGGCCTTGTGCCACCGATGATGCCGCAACGTTGATCCGCTTGCAGCTGCTCGTCGCAGACCAAGTACAGCTGCAAGAACTTGGGGCTATCATTGCCACGAGGAAGCAGGGATCCAACTCTATCATAGACCTGTCCCTGCACCTTGAACGTTGGCATGAAGCCTTGTTCCTCAACGTCGGGCGTGGCGACCGTAGTGCCAAGGGACGTCATCTGGAAGCACGCATTGTACTTCTTGATGTTCTGCAAGAAATGCCTGGACACAGCACTCGTGCCCGACATGTATGAGCGGAGGGGCTCGGGCGGCTCAAGTAGAGGGGGAAGGTCGACTTTGCCGCTGGAACAGCACATGTCAGGAGGTTCGGCTCTGAACTTTCTGGCTCGACATTTGTTGCATACGACATCCATTTTCCCGATCTGTACCTTCGGATGGGTCGAGTAGTCGAACTGGGCATCATA